TATGCTCGATGTAATATATGATTTTTGACTCGTACGTTCCACAAGTTGCTGCTTAGGTTGATTACTAATAGATAACCTCTCATCACGTGAAGGTGGCGTCGGGAATGGCCATCCCAACGGACATTTCAGGGACTTACCACTGCAGGCCGATTCCAGCGGGATACTCGAGGGTCGAAGTTGAGCTGGTGGAAGCCGTGTACGAGGACCTCGAGTTGGACTATCCAGGAGGAGACGGTGAGACGCATCTACGAGACACAAGCCACGCTATTATACTATGGCGCAAGCGGTACATCATCCTCCCTGGGCGACAAGCGGCGTCTCGTGCACCATCTCCTCCGGCTCCGCCGTCTCCTCCTGCACCATCTCCTCCGGCTCCTCCGCCACCTCCTCCTGCACCATCTCCTCCGGCTCCTCCAGCTCCTCCGCCTCCTCCTCCACCGTGTCCGCCTGCACCTCCCAAGACAAGGTCTCGCCAAGCTCCACCTCCTGCCAGCACAAGGGCAACGAAGAAGGCCAAAGTTGAGACCACCAAAAACAAGGAGCCGCCGTACGGTTGTAGTCAAGAGGAGCTTGACGCTTATGTGGCAGGAGAAGTGAAGAGGCAACTCAAGCCTCGGAGTCCTGAAAAGAAGATACCTATTGACCCGAGCGTGAAGAATTTCTTCAAGGGAATGTCCACCGCAAACAAGGAGGCCTTAAAGCTATCGGATTATGACCGAACACTTAGGAAAGCCTATTACAAGAAGTCCAAACCAGTTCCTCAGCTTGGAGAACAACCACACTAAGTGACCGGCGAAGACTTTGGCATAACGGATTTCATTTCGGACACCGGTCTAACCATGGCTCAGTTGGTTGGAGGCGCACCAATCCTGAAGGCGGAAGTGGCATACAAGTTTGAACTCAGTAAACCGCTTGTCAGGCCTGAGCAGCTGCAGTCCCTACCGACACAAATGTACAAATTCCATGAACGGTACATGGAAATGAGCGCCAATGGTAGAGAGATGTTCGGAGCGAGGATCAGAAACCCCGACTTCTTGCAAGGAGAAGATGTTCTATGGATCCATTTCAACGATGTCTTCGATCTGTACCATCGGGACGCCCTCGACGTCTCTCTTCTGAGCGCATGGATTTTGTAAGTATCTTTGAGTTCGATTTGTTTCGTTCAATAATTAGCTCCTGGCATATATGTAAGCAATAATAATTTCCTTTCATTGTTGTAGAATGGAGATTCAAAGGGCCCGACGGCGGAGGGTTTACAATACTGGGTTCATCGACCCTCGGAAAATCAATACCGAAATGCTCGACAAGTATGAGAAAGACACAGAGGACAATCTCGTCCATCTCCTAACGCAGCAGCATTACAAGACGTTCATAGTATTGCCGTACAACACAGAGTGAGTTTTTATTGTCGTTCGAACAAATTTCATTCCCATACATATCACATGTACATTCTGATATTTATATCATCTCACGCATATTCCAGATTTCACTGGGTCCTGTTCTTTTTCGACTTGGACGCATGCAGAGTCACTGTATACGACTCAATGAATAAAGAGGAGAAGGTTTTTGACAAGGTCTTCCAACTGATAGACATGTAATATAATGCCATCTATTCCAAAGTCGCGGGACTATGTTGCTATTATGTTGATCTCGGGTAATATTTAATTAATCATAGCTTGCAACTGCACATGTAGGGCTTGGGATCGGTTCCGTCAATTGGTCCGCGGGACTTGGAAAGAAAAACTTAGACGGATGTTTCATTTTCCAGTGAGTACATGCATGATCCAAAATTATATTGAATTGAATCTCTAGTTACAGTTAATATAAAGAGTATATTAAATCTCTCATCATTTCTCATGTAGTATGCAAAGCAGGACAAGGGAACTAACTTATGCGGCTACTACGTATGCGAGTTTGCCCACTGCCTATCAAACCAAATATACACCACACGAGAGCTCGATGTACGTATACATAAACCATTCAAAATTTCATTGCGTATCGATTTGTTAAGTTGTTTATTAATTTCATATATTGATATGTCATTATTTTTCGAATGATAGCGTATTCACATGAGGGAAAAACTCCCACACAAGGATTTTATCACGGCTGTTCAAGAACAACTGATGAGGTTCATCAACGAAGAAGTCCTTAATCCCGATGGTGAATTCTACTACGACGGATCGACAATTCGTAACGTCGGTCCTTCCTCTTCTGACGTAACGCAGGCGTCGAAGTCGTAGCTATAGCTAGCGAGCAAATGAATTGTACTATACATGCATGTATATATATATATTTATATATGTACGTACATTTACTTTAGTGTTAAGATATATTTTGGTAACATATATGTACATAAAAGGTTAAATGTTAAGTGCTTTAAATTATAAATATGTGTGTAATATATGTATTTATACATACATACATATATATATATATATATATATATATATATATATATATAAAATCAACCATGCAGCAAACAGGGCCATGCAAATAAAAAAAAATGGTACATAGATCTTTAGTCCCGGTTGGTAACACCAACTGGGACTAAAGATGGATCAGCCGGCCACGTGGCTGACCGATCTTTAGTCCCGGTTGGTCCCGGTTTGTGTTACCAACCGGGACTAAAGATCGATCTTTAGTCCCGGTTATTTCACCCGGGACTAAAGATCTCTATCTTTAGTCCCGGATTCGTAGTCCCGGTTGGACAACCGGGACTAAAGGGGGGTTACGAATCAGGACTACAATCGATTTCTCCACCAGTGTAAATACAGTCATAAAACTTCCGTACATCATGATCGATCTAATTAACCATTCAAAACTTATTGATTTGAAAATTTCACTGGTCAAAGGTGACAAATATTGAAATAGAGAGAGAGAGAGAGAGAGTGTGTTGAATAGAGTTGGATATTTGTATATGTCTGAGCTAGCTGAATTTAAATATATACAATTATATATCACGATGTGGACATGATGCATAACTGATGACTGTAAAAAACCGATGAAGGTTAACTGCACACTGATTCAGTTGAGTGTTGAGAGTTAGTAGATCTCTTGTTTTTTCTTGTCCTCTTAGTTACTGTACTTAATTAGGATTGTTTAGCTGCCTGTCGATTTTTTTAAAAACAAATGTCTGATGATTCTTATCCTAGCTATTAAAGTGACGATGTTGATGCCTGCTATAAATAACGTGTGCACGTGAGAAAGAAGCTAGGGATATACTAGTTCTTGTTTAACCAAACATATCTGCTATAATCATATATATATATTTTGTTAATTAACACGATCTCAGTATTCGGAGAGAACAGGAATTTTTTTTGGTATTTTTGAGATGGGGACAGAGAAGATCACCAGACTAAACAAGAAACAGAATCGTAGTTGAAACCAAACCCTTCTGTATATTTGCAACAGAGCAGGTGAACCCTGTAATCGATCGATCGAGCTGGATTCTCATGAACCATGCCTTTTTTCCCCAATAATTTAAAGTAAATCTAGTTGAGCTCAAAGAAACATCTCCAAATCACCGATCGTATTAATCCTGCAGAGATATGAATAAATATTTTAGTCCCAGCAGACACACGTGAGCCAGTCAGCCAGACAACATTTTATTAACGTCAGTATCAATGTACTCCCTCCATTTCATAATACTAATACTAAGCATCTGTAGGTTCAAATTTTAAACACGATGTAAGCATTTATCATCTGTAGAATACTAGCTACTTCTTCATCGATGCTCATTCAAATTCCTCATCATCATCATATCTCTAACCTTACCATCCTTTCACTTCCAACCATCCCTTATTTAATTAGGGGTTGCATAGTTTTTTCTCAAACTTTAATCTTAACTAAATAATATAGAAATACTTATATTTAAATTTGAAGACAGACAATCCAATCCGTTATGAAGACATATAGTATGATAGTAGCCTGTCTGCATGGGCAAGGAAGAAGGAAGAAGGGACGCGGCGACGGTTGGGCTCCCCTCATTCGAGAAAAAAAATTATTTGTTAGAGTGGCATCATCGATTTGATACTAACAAATAGCGAAGATAAGGTGAAAAACAAGGTGGTGGCGACGGTATCGGCTAGGGTTTGCCATCGAGCAGCCGCACATAGGTGACACGGGTCCCCTTGTTCGAGACAAAAATATTTATTTGTTAGAGTGGCATCATCTATTTGATTCTAACGAATAATGAAGATAAGGTGAAAAGGCATCTATAATTTGTAAAATGACTTGTATTTAGAGTTGGAGGGAATATTGAAGAAATCATGGACTTACAGATTATTAGCTGACTAAAACTTCAGTACGTAACGCGAGTGTCGATGGATGTCATTTGGAGTAAGTGGTTATGGAAGTTTGGTTGAAATTGGAATGATGTGACTGAAAAGTTGGAAGTTTATGTGTGTAGGAAAGTTTTGATATGATAAAAAAATTGAAAGTTTGAAAAAAAACTTTGTAACTAAACACAGCCTAAACTGGACACAAGTTTCCCGGTGCAATAATAAAATCAAAGTTGATGCACGCATGATGTTGCCAAAGTACCGAGGAGTATCTTTAGAGTACCGACAGAGGTCAGCAGCCATGGTGCGTGAACATTTGAACCAAATTAACGGTCAGGAAATGTTTTACCCGAAAATATTGGTCACGATTAATCTTTAAATTGATGGTGTATGTATCCATTAAAACTTTTAGATGTGTGTTTATGAACCATCTAATTATATCTTACTTCCTCCGTTTCATATTATAAGACTTCGGCCACATTCATATATATGTTAATGAATCTAGACGTATGCTTTCTAGCATTGCCCACATTCATATATATGTTAATGAATCTAGACATATGTATAACATATATATGAATGTGGGCAATGCTAAAAAGTCTTATAATCTGAAAACATATATATGAATGTGGGCAATGCTAAAAAGTCTTATAATCTGAAACGGATGTAGTAGTTATGTAGAGATCAGAAATAATTCTGAAATCTGAGAGATCCGACAATGAGCCTAATACATTGGGAAGAACTTACTGGACAATATGTAATGTGGACGCATACAATTGGTATCGTGTCATGACAATCAAATACAAGAACAAGGAATGAAAACAAGTGAATCACAAATTCACATTTTGTCTCAATGAACCACTCAGCGGCTCGACTACTCCTACATAGTAGCAGCCTCGGTCTTGATATCGTCCCATCATCCCTCTATGTATAGTGTGGTTAGATGGCGAACACAGCTTTAAATAAAGATGGGATGATGATGCTGTTGGAAATATGATCATAATTCGATATATTTTAATCCAAAACAGCGAGATAAGATAATAAACATGACATTCACAATAGTAAGTAATCTAGTGATGGCGCTAAACGAAATATGGGCATGCTTTTTATAACATAAGCATAAGCATCATCAACATTCACATAGGATTGTAATCCGAAGGATAGCATAATCAATATGTAAATAACAGGAAGAACATCAATTAGAGATAAAACCATATACCTAGAAAACAGTGCAGTGGAGGTTGAGGTATTTGTATTGCCTCCGTTGGTGTTGTCTCCTGGAGCGCCGCCGTTCCCTCTAGCTCCTGGTGCAGGACCGTTCCCTCCAGCTCCTGGTGGGCCATTGCCAGAGAAAGCCATCGCGTTGCAGAAGAACAGATGGATGCAGAGGAAGCAGTCGCACCGAGATGCTCCCAGAAAACTTGATCGCCCGCCTACCCGTGTAGGTACGCAAGCGGACGGAGTTCTGGAGGCCTGCTCATCCTGTCACCCGTGCGCGCAGGTGGACAGAACCGGGGAAGCAATAGCTAGCGCAAGAACAGAGGAAGATCTGAGTGCGAGAGGAGGAGAGCAGAGACTAGAGAATTGTGTTTTCGTCTGCCTCGGTGGTAGTCTTTTATAGCGTACGGGAGGGAGAATCGCTACTGTAGTAATAACGGTATCAATCCGATTTAAGTTGAGATTGATTTGCCCGTTATAGGAGTAATCACGCCCGTATTGAAATTGTATCAATTGCGCTAGAGCTAGATTCAATTCGTGTCCATTGAAAAATTTACGAGAGAGAGAGAGAGAGTTGGTGGCATTTTATAGCGTACGGGAGGGAGAATCGTTACTGTAGTAACAACGGAATCAATCCGATTTACGTCAAGATTGATTCGTCCGTTATAGGAGTAATCACGCCCGTAACTAGGGGTGGATAGCGAGCCGGCTTGGCTCGGCTCGTTATCCTAACGAGCTAGAAACCTAGCTCGGCTCGGCTCGTTTGAAAGCTCGAGCCAGCTCGTTAGGCTCGCGAGCCAATCCAACAAGGCATCAAGCTCCGTAGGAGGGGGCCTGTGAGTGCGACCTGCGCCTTCTTCGGTGGCGGCCCTAACGGTGGGCGGCGGTGGTGGCCCTAGCGCTGGCTGGGGAAGTGCGGCTGACGGTGGTGCGAGCGCCTGGCGACGGCGGCCCTAGCGGCGGGGGCCCTAGCGCCTGCTGGGGAAGTGCAGCTGGCGGCGGCGGCGGCTGGGGATGTGCGACGGCAGCGGCGGCGGCGGCGCGAGCGCCTGGCGACAGTGTCGGCGCGGTCTCATGCGGTGGAGCGATGCTGATGCCGATGTGGATGTGCGGCCTCGACTCTCGTGTGGTGCGGTCGCCGCTAGGACTAGGAGTGATCGAGCCAGGACTAGTGTTTTGCTTTTGCTGTTGTCTTGGGCTTAGGCCTTTGCTATTGTATTGGGCTAGGCCTTTGCGGTTGTCTGATGAAGTCCTGGCTCGTTAAGGCTCGCGAGCCAGCTTGTTATCCCTAACGAGCTAAAATGCCAGCTCTGCTCGTTAGGAAAATCAAACGAGCCGAGCCGAGCCTGTCATGAGCCGAGCGAGCTAACGAGCCAGGAGCTTCCTGTCCACCCCTACCCGTAACCGTATTGAATTTGTGTCAATTGCGCTGGATTCAATTCTCATCTACCCGTAACCGTATTGAAATTGTGTCAATTGCGCTGGATTCAATTCTCGTCCGTTGCAAAATTTACGAGAGAGACAGAGAGAGAGCAGCCCTGGCCCGGCGGGTGCGCGTACATGTGGCTGTCTACCCACCATCTCAACCGGTCAACGGAGACTCTCCACTAGCTCCATATTTAAGTTGAGACATCTTCACTTAAATTTCTAAAGTGGTATTATTACCCATAGCATTAAATATGGGCCATTGGAATTTATTTGGATTTAATTGGGTCTAGTCTATTATTTTAACAAATGCTCGTCCGATAAAGACAACCTAACGTAACACATACAATATTTATATTGCAACCGCGTAAAAAAAATTTGTACAATTAATAAATTAAGACAAAAAATGATATCAAAATAGTACCCATCTTTTTAAAGTAAAGGAATAATCTTTGCACCATATAGATGGATAGCTAGACCAGCTAACCCACCCTGTCCAATGGGTAGGTCTGTCCCTAGTGTGGTTGGAATCCTGGAAACTCAATGAGACGGTGATGTCGAGATGAAGCTGCACCTTCATCGCATTAGTTGCTAGAGGGACGTATCTCATGTGCCAAACGATGAAGAGCATGTCTCACTCAAACTAGAACTACCAAGTTGCGATTATTGGTAAGCAGCTAAAGTGAAATATAATTATCTGATCAATAGCGGAACAAATCTTATTTGCTATTGTTGATAGCTAAATTTGACACTAGGGTTAAAGGATAACAAATTTTGGTCACATTTAACAAGCCCGAACCTTTATATAAGACCAAACGTACCATAGGCATACAGCCTGACCGTCCTACAAGCCAGATCGAGCTCTAACATAATAGCGGACAGACCTATGGCATGAGGCCGGATCAACCTTAAGTATAGGGTCGGACCTTAGATATTTCTTGTATCTCCTTATTTGAGACTAGAATTTTTCAAGTCATAATTGATTTTTAGACCTAGTTGAAAGTGGACAAGGCCCGACCCCACCCATAAATATAAGGGGCTAAGGCCGACTGAAACAACCACTAATCAATTGTCAAAATTAATTTATTATCCATACCCTTTATATTTTACAACTCCCTCCTTTTTTATCCCATCCTTTAATTCATTAATTGCTTGTCATCTCTTGTATCTATGGTGTTAGAGGACATTTTAGTTGGTTTGTTGAGTCTAGAATTAACCGGTACATGTTCGCCCTGATAGGATCCCTAGCTAGCTCCCAGGTGTTCATTCAACGGCCTCTACCTCCTTTGCAGCAGCTTGTTTTCATATGCCGCTGCAAATTACACATAATGTACGCGTGTGCGGCGTAATTTTGTGACAAAAGCTATATATTCTTAATAATTAATTAATGCAAATAACAAAAATAAACTCCCCAAATTATTGTTTTAGGTGGTTCCTAGCATGATTGGGGTGTGCCAGGGCCGCCCCTGGCCGTGCTCCCCAGTGACTTCGTCGCGCTGATCTTTAAGATGGTTGCTATGCTGTATCTTGATTTCAAGCTGGATCAGAGATCAACCTCAAACTACAGTAGCAAAAGATCCATGGAGAGGAAAAAAGGGGCACAAGCGACCACAAGTACGTTGAGATGATGAGCAATCGCTGTTCCGTTATCTAATCATCGGTTTAATCATGATTACTCAAATAGAATCCAGGCCGATGATCCTAATTAGAGACCATATATTAACGTAATTCCTCCGTTTTACAATGTAAGTCATTTTAGTATTTTTCACATTCATATTGATGTTATTGAATCTAGATAGATATTTATGTCTAGATTTATTAATATTAATATGAATGTGGAAAATACTAAAATGATTTATACTGTGAAATGGAGGGAGTACATATATGGTAGCCACGACGGGGGTTGATGGATACACAAATATTGGTCGCTGTCAGTGAAATCTTAATGGCGATTACTACATTGGATGGGCACTGCTACACTACATGTGCATCATGCAATGGTTAGCTTCCTGTCCGGGACAATGGCGACGGGTGGCCGGCGATGGCGTCAGCTCTGACGATTACGCGAGAGTAATAAGTACGGCCCTGCTTGTCCACGTCACCGATCTTTTTCGGGTTTTGGCTTAACTAGATCGGCACTTTTTTTCATCGTCTTCCTCTTGTCTGGCATGTCGGCCCCGCTTGTCATGGACTGCACGGGCCAATAATTCAGGCGCAGCAAATGCATGCATTGTGACTTCTTGGACAAACCCGGGACAGGTTAATTAGGAAGCACGTAAGGGTATGAATAATATAATGCCAATGGTGTGATATATATCGGCATACGTATAAGGAGAATATTGTAAATAATTTTTTACCATATGAAAGTAAGAAGAGAGAAGAATATCGGCTGACGGTCAAATAGATATCATAAATGTAATAGATAATTAATATTATTCTCAACTCAGGATACGTAGAATACAAGAAAATTTTCTCATGTAGTACGTTACGTAGGCACGGTAAAATTCCTTATATTTTTGGACAAAAGTAATATCATATTATGTGGGGTGGCTACTAAGCCCCTGGTTGTACGACTACCTCGAGCATGTCGTCATCGCTCAAGTCAGCCCCTTCCGTCCCTTCCGTCAAGCTCTTCTTCCCTATTGCTAGGTTCGAGTTAAGTAGGGAGGCAAGGTGTCAAGCGATGAGGGGCCGGCCCATGAAACGTCGAAGCACATGTATAGCTGATGTGTATTTAGAGTAAGTATAATAAGATGGATTAGAGCACCTTATAAATTCACATGGTAAGGGAGGAGAATGGACGAGAGAGAAGAGCCTCTCCTCATATAAAAGGTGATTTTTACGGAAGCTTTAAAAGAGAAAAGAAAAAGACCAAATGGATTAAGAGCAAACAAATACATTATTGTGTTAGGCAAATATACAGATATAATGTGTGCTATGCATACCATCTCTAATTAACTAGCTAGTAGATACTCTCTCAGTCCATAAATATAAGAATTGTAGCTCGTTAGTTTGTCCGGAAATATAAGGGTTTTCTGGTATCCCAAGGTAAAAAGGATAACAACAATTAGAAGTTGAGTCTCCCATCCATTCCCACCGGAAAAAAAATATCAAGAGAAAAGTACGTGTAGTACTGCTCCCCACTTCCTAACCTGCCAACTCATCTATTTTATTCATAAACATGTACTTTTTACACCTCATTCATCTGCCAATTTGTGCCTTTTCACGTTACAAGATGGCTCAGATGCAGTTTTTACACTTAATTTGTGCTATATTAGGTATAATCTCTTATATTCATGGATAGAGGGAGTAATGATTTGTCTAAAATTAGAGTAGATCATCGTTTCTACCAGTAAACTTAATTGCTCTTAGTTGCCGACCCTTCATCATCGTCTCCTCCATTGTAATCTCCAGCTGATCCCAAAATCTGACGTGGTATATGAATGTCGGGAGCATAGGCAGTATTATTGTACTTCATCTGACAACGTACATTGGGGTTGGGCTGTCCAGGTCTACGCAATTTATGCCTGCACATGTGTTATTTCAGCCTAGAAATGTACTATATACGTTTGCAGGACACATGTTTTTTTCAGTAATCAGCAGGCCGATATATAGTTGGGGGCAATCAATGTACCCAGCTGGAAAATATATATAATTCCAATGAAGAAAGATAAGCTTTTGAGAAAAATAACAGTGAGGCTTCATAACCTCCAAGAGGAAAACTACAAACATACTCCATATGTATGACAAGCAATATATACATAGAAACACAAAGTTACAAAAATTAGCATCACTGAACTATAGAAGTTAAAGGTCGATATGTAACCGCCTCTTGCATTGAAGGATTTACTACTCCCTTTATTATAAAATAAATGTATTCCAAAAGATTTCACGAGAATTAAGAAAATTGATAAAATTAAAATTTGAAATGTTATGATTGGCTGA